AGAGAGAGAGAGAGAGAGAGAGAGAGAGAGAGAGAGAGAGAGAGAGTGCAGCCACTTCTGAACACCGTGTCCTTACTGTCGTGGTTAAGATACTTCGCTCTTGAGTCCGAGGTCACCGGTTTGAATCCATGCTTGCACGGAGGAGGGCTTAGGCCTAGATGTTAGGATCCATGGACTGCTATGGAAGCACCCGTTAACTGATGGGGAGCGGATGTACCCCGTGTGTGGTGGGTGGGCTAAGTACCAGTGAGGGGGTCACGTGCAGAATGACTTGCTGATTTCTGCTGCCGAGATTCACGGCGAGGCTGTACACTAACCGTAGGGTTAGTTTTGTAATTTTGTTTGGCTGAGGGCTAACCGAGAGGTTCGTCTGAGAGGAAATTCGTGAGGGACAGATCTGCAAATCCGGGAAAATACAGGCCCGGTACTAACCGAATCCCTACAGCTACCCTAACTGCCTATAGCAGGCCCGGGCTACCCCTAGGACAGACAGGCCCTAAGTGGCCTATACTGCTATACGGTCCTATAGCCTATAGCCGGGTACGGTAGAGGCCGAGAGGCCGAAACAACAACGGTACCGGTCAGTCCAGTCAGTCCGGTCTAGGTCTAGGCTAGAGTAGGAAGTCTATAAGTCCGGTAGGGAAAATAGTTTGGGACTTTTGGCTTTTCATTTTTCGTGTGCAGCGTTCGGGGCCAACCAAGTTGTGCAGCGCTGAAGGTCTACAGCGGCACCTGAGACTTCAGCTGCGTGAGGCAGCCATAGCCGGCCTACCTGAGACAGCCATARCTGGGGCTGTGCTCAGCGCATCTACCCCCTGGGGGATATCTGCRTTGGCAGGACTATACAGAGGCTCTTCACTGGGTACATGTGGGTACTGCTGCTGCGGTAGCAGCCAGGCAGCCATAGCTGCCTTCTTCATCGTCAGAGTGACTCATCGGCACTGGGGACTACCTCGCTGTTCATGATCTGCATCTGGGTGTATGGCGCTGGCCTCTGGGAGGCTGTTTCAGTGTAGCGCTAAACTCTGGGAGTGGAGTAGTGAGTGGAGTGTGTGGTACTGAGGTGGTGAGATACTGGGTTGAACTCTGTAACGATAATTTGGGTTAATTGAGTTGAGTTGGCTCATCATCTGTGTTACATTCCAATTGTGATCTTCGCAGTGTCATCTTGTGATTGGTTGTTGGGAGTCTGTCAGAGAGAGAGAAACACTGGGTGTATTCTCCCMATCTGTGCATGGTTGCGATTCCGCTGCTTATCTCTGGTCTGTGTGCAGTTGGACTCTGTCTCCTCCTCCCCTTTGTCTCATGCATGTATGGGCGTGTGTGAGTTCTTCTGTGTGTGAGTGGCAAAGAAATTGTCAGACAACCAAGTTCATAACAGTTGGTATCGGAGCGGAGATTGGACTTGGAGCACTGAGGGTTGAGCGCAACAGGGGCATCCTCTTCTTCTGGCCCTAACTGGCGAGAAGTTCCATGGTGGCTCTGCATCTTCAGTGAAGATCCAGTAGAGAAGAGGATATGCAAGCGGTGATTGCAGAGTATCAGTGTGCGATTGATCAGGCACCCTGAGCCTATCTGAGTGCCTGATAGGAAGTGGCGAGAACAGGGGTATTTCGCCATCCACCTTCTGACTTCAGTTGATGACTGGGATCAGGGTGGCGAATTACACCCTAATCCAGTGATAACTGGGTGGCGGCTTCAATCCCAGTATAGCGCTGAGGGAGAATTGATCGCAGGATCAATCTCCTGCTGAATTAACCCCATTCAGGGCTAAATTTAGCACTCGCAGCTTACCCCTGTAGTGGCGAGATATCTTCAGGAGAGTTTTCTCTCGCCACTGAGGCAGATCCAGTGTATCTGAGAGTTGGGGCTGAATCGCCACATCATACTGGACCAGATCAACAAGTTTCAGGAGATTCTACGCGTGGAAATCAGTGGAAGGGTGTCTGCATGCCAGTGGCGAGACCAGGGTCTGGCAGCCATAGCCTGAGCTTCATCATCCACTGGGCCAAACACTTCAAGTGAGTGTGTTCCGTGTGAATCCCTGTGTAGCGATTAGATTAGCATTAGTAAAGTCTGAATTGATGGTTTGTCTGTCAGTAGAGTCACAATTTTGAAATTGTCAGATTGCAAGACAACCATAGTCATCTTCTTCCTCCCTACCCTGACTCATATCTCACCATCTATTGACCTGTTCTGACTCAAAATTGTTCTGGGACTGTATGACAGTATTGCGCTGCACCCTGTATGATAATTCAGTGAATTCTGTACAGAAAAAGTAGTGATACTGTGGATTTGAGTTTTGCGCTGAGTCTGTTCATAGTCTGTGCTATCTAGGGTCAGTCACAACTCAAAATCTGTCTGTCATAATTCAAGTCTGTCAGTCTGGGGTGAATCGCAATTCAATTTTTGTCATCTGTGCTGAAGCGCTAGTCCAGAATCAGTGAATTTGAGCCATTACAGTGAAATCCTGAAATTCGCCACATCTGGGAGTATTTATGTTGATGTCAACAGTGGCAAAATTTGAGTTTAGGGCTGGCAGGGTGTAGTTACTGCATCGCTACTACTTGTTGTTGTGTTTCAGTCAATTCTTGCCTGTATCCATCACTACCACTAATCTTCTTTGTTTTTTGATGGGCCCTGGAATGCTAGTGACCCCTGGAATGCATTGATAGTATCTGTTGTAACTTAAGTGAAGGTTTAGTGTCAGGCAAAGGAAACCGTTAGTGAATGGTTTTACTGGACTAATAGTCAGTCTGATTACTGACCCCAGTGGTTGTATTCTAACCCTAACCGCTTGTGCCCACTAACCCACCTTACCCTGTGAACTGAAAGTGCAGCGATTTATGAGTATCTGAGGGAATTGAAAATCGCTGCATCCCAGGCTGTCTAATTTTGTATTTTATTGTTTTGAAAGGGAAGATGTCTGACGCTGGGAAATCGGGTGAGGGTAAGGTAGAGGTAGTGATCAAGGAGGAATGAACACCTTCCCCCTCTACTCCTACCCCTCCTCCTCTCACCCCTGCCCAGCAGCGCAAGAGAGAGATTGAGGCCAAACTGTGAGAGCAACAGGCGCTACTCGTAGAAGCAGAGAGACAGGAGGCTGCAGAGTTGGAAGCTGCAACGGATGCTTCCCGCAAGGAATTCCTGCTGCAGCAAGCAGAGAAGACCATGGCTGACGACAGGGTGGCCCAGTGCACAAAGTATCTGGCTGAGCTGGTAATTCTGCAGAACAAAATCACAGCCAACCACCTTACTAACTGGGACGAAAGAATCCAGCGACTGGAAACCAGGGTAGGCGACCTGGGGACTCAGCAGTCAAAGATCCTGGATGCAATCCAGAATCTGACTGCTCAGTTAACAACAGCCAACCTGATCACCCCTCTAGTCCCTGTGGTCCCCTCTCCAAAACCCAAAAGGCCTTCTCAACCCTCTTCACCTCCTTATTCTCCTCATCCCTCTCACAAGTCATCTCCCTCTGTCTCCTCCCAGGCCAAAGCCACACCTCCACCTCCTCCCACTTTCGCTGCTGTAGTTGCTGGGGATCAGCGAGGACCCAAGATCCCTGCACCCAGCAAATTCAAGGGCGATGACCCCAAGATTGACGTTGGGGACTGGGCAGCAGGAACCCGGGCCTACCTGAAAGGGTTCCAGTGCCCAGAGCTGCAGAAAGTGGCTACCGTTGTGGGGCTGTTGGAGGGCCCAGCCCAGAAATGGACCACATCCACAGCCAGCGCCCAGCGGCAGACTCTAGAGGACTGGGCATTGGCACTGGGGGTTGACAAACTTTTGCAGGCCCTGGAAGACAGGTTTGCAGGCAAAGAGCGTGCACGCAAAGCTGCTGATAAAATTGTACGCCTGGGCCAGCAGCGTTACAGCGTCAGTCTGCAGGCCCTGTTTGCTGAATTTGAACAGCTAACCTCCACCCCTGGATTAGTTATGTCTGTTGATGATTTGTTGACAAACTTTTGCAGGGCTGCGCCTGAAAAGTTCAGTGTTGCATTGTACAGCGTGGGGCACAAAGACTGGAGGTCATTCGGCCGCGCAGTCCTGGACATGGAGGCCAAACTGCATGTCCAGGCCCCTTCCAGTGACATGAAGAAAGGCGCTTTCCCTCGCGGTGGAAGAAGGGGAAAAGCGGCCTTTGCACATGTAGGATTTGCGTCATCCTCTGATGCAGGATCCCGGCCTGGTACACCGCCAGGTGGGACTGCATCAGCTGCTGTCACAGATGTTGCAGCGGCCATGCAGCAGCTGCAGGCTGCGCTGGGGGGCTTCCAAAAGGTCGGGTCTACCTCCAGCACAGCCTCCAGCAGCAAGGGGAAGAGCCAGGGACGTCGCTCTTCAACCCCTGCCCGGCGCCCTAACTTGCCACGTGACATCCGCTTTCCAACAGACCCCCTGAGCCCCAACACCCTTCCCTGGCATGATCTGAAAATTCAGGAAGGGGTGTGGAGGAAAAGGAAGGAGAGGGGAGTTTGTTTGAGGTGTGAGGGACAACATTTTCTGAAGGACTGTCCCTACATGCCTAGCCCAGCTCAGTCAAAAAACTGAAGCTGACCCTGGAGACTGCAGTTCCCTCCAGTGCTGCACCTGCATCTGCATCTGCAGCAACTTCAGTTGAGACTTGTGTCCTTCCCAGTACAGGGACTGCGCGCGCAGCATCCTTCACTTATGAGGATCCCGACCCGGATCAGGAACCGGACCAGTCTGAGTGTCAGTCACTTGCTGCTTTTCTCTTTCATTTGAAGGAGCAAAAGAAGAACAAGTCTGATTTCATACTCCTTCGGCCCCTGATCAATCACAGCAGAATCAAAGGGCTGCTGGACTGTGGAGCCACCCGAAATTTTATGTCTCCCAGTGCAGTAAAAAAACTGCATCTGGGTATGAAAGTGGTGCAACTGCAGCAACCGCTGCAGGTCAGGATAGGTGACTCCACTGTTTTGACTATCAGGGAGAAGATCAGGGGCATCCCTGTAACCTTCGACAATGCTGGAGAAGTCAGACACAGTCTGAACTTCTACATATTCCTTGATCTACCCTTTGATCTTGTTTTCTCCATGCAATGGCTGAAAGCAGTCAACCCGAGGATCGACTGGCAGATCCCCAAGGTTGAGCTGCCGGACAGCAAGGGGGTGTATCAGCCATGTATGATTGCAGATGAACACCACCCTAAGACCTCATGCTTCTGCTTGAGAGCGAGGGAGTTCTACGCTCTCTCACGCCAGTACGACCATGAGCGTCTGTTTATAGCGCTGGTCAAACAAACAGATGCTCCCACTACTCCCTGTCCTCCTGAGATACAACAGGTAGTTGACAAGTATGCTGATCTGATGCAGGAGCCCTTTGGGTTACCCAACCGGCCAACCAAGCATCACATTGAGCTGCTACCTGGAGCGGTCCCTCCCAAGGGCCTCATCTACAGGATGTCCCCTGCTGAGCTTGAGGAGCTCAGACGACAGCTTGAGACCCTGACCAGCAAGGGCTGGATCAGGCCCAACACTTCTTAATTCGGCGCTCCAGTCCTCTTTGTTCCAAAGGGGAGTGGCGAGTTCAGAATGTGCATCGATTACAGAGGTCTCAACAAAATCACTTGGAAGAGCACAGAGCCACTTCCTAGGATTGATGACCTTCTGGATATGGTTCAGGGGTGCACTATTTTCAGCAAAGTCGACTTCAAGTCTGGCTATCACCAGATTGAGATGGCAGAGGAGGATGTCCACAAGACAGCCTTCAAAACCAGATATGGTACTTATGAGTATCTGGTTATGCCATTTGGACTTTGCAATGCACCTGGCACATTCCAGACAGAGATGCACCGCATCTTCAGGCCGTACCTGGATAAGTTTATGGTTGTCTACCTGGATGATATCCTGGTATTCAGCAAAACTACCAGGGAACATGGGGAGCACCTGACTCTGGTTCTTCAGTCATTACGTGACAGCCAGTACAAGATCAACAAAGAGAAGTCCTCTTTTGGAGTTCCCTCTGTGATCAACCTGGGTCATGTAATCTCTGGAGATGGTCTGGGCCCTGAAGCAACCAAAATTGTTGTTATTCAGGATTGGCCACAACCCCAGACAGTGAGAGATGTCCGGTCTTTCTTGGGTCTGGCCTCATACTACAGAAAGTTCGTTAGGAACTTTTCTGCAGTGGCGGCACCCCTGACTAACCTCACAAAGAAAGACACTCCCTTTTTTTGGTCTCTTCACTGCCAGATGGCCTTTGCGCGACTCAAACAGGCCTTGACTCGTGCACCTGTTCTGAAGTTACCTGACCCCACTTTGCCTTTTGTCCTGACGACTGACGCCGGTCAGTATGGCATTGGGGCAGTACTTCAGCAGGATGATGGGAATGGTCTGAGGCCTGTCGAGTTCATGAGTAAGAAGATCAAAACTCAGAAGCTTCAGGACTCTACCTACGAGAAAAAGTTGTATGCTCTTGTCAGTGCCCTGAAACATTGGAAGCACTTTCTCCTGGGCAGGCACTTCAAGATCTTTTCTAATCACTCCACTTTACAGTGGTTGAAGTCCCAGGGAGAGTTAAACGATAAGTTGGCACGCTACATTCATTTCATTGATCTGTTTGACTTTGAACTGAAACATAAGAAGGGCTGCTACAATAAAGTAGTTGACGCCCTCTCTCGTAGGCCTGACTCTTTTGCGCTGATCTCCTCTACTCACTCCTTTGGAGAGGAGGTCCGTCAGACCATTACTCGCCTACTGCCTCAGGATCTGACTTATGGACCCATCGTCAGGAATCTGCAAGCCGATCCCAATTTTGAACCTGGCTATGCTATGAGTTCAGATCTGCTGTACACTTACAGCAGAGGAGAGCAGCGCTTGTGTATCCCTGAGGATCAACAGCTGAGGACACTGCTGATGTCAGAGTGCCATGATGCACGTGGGCACTTTGGGTTCTTAAAGTCGTATGCAGCCCTGTCGCAGCGCTTCTTCTGGAAGGAGACGCAGAGTGATATGCTGCGCTATGTGGAAACATGTGAGCTATGCCAGAGGAACAAGGTTCAGCGTAAACCTCCTCTGGGACTGCTCAAACCCTTGCCCATACTTGATGGTCCTGGACAGTTTGTATCCATTGATTTCACAGACTTAGGCAAGACCACCCCTCGTGGCATGCGTTAGGTCATGGTCTGCGTTGACAGGTTTTCCAAATACGCAGAGTTCATCCCCTTACTAGAGGTGGCGAGGGTCCCGACTGTGAGAACAATCTTTTCTGAGAGGTGGGTCACGCACCATGGACCGCCCACTTCTATTGTCAGCGATCGAGATCCCCGATTCTGCAGCGATGAGTGGCAGTCCTACTGCAAGGACTACCTGCACTCACGCCTGGACATGACTTCTGGTCGTCATCCTGAAGCCAATGGATTGGCTGAAGTGATGAACCAAGTCCTATTCCAGTTGCTGCGTCCTGTCATCTCGGCAGATCAACAGGACTGGGATCTCCACTTAGCGAGGGCACAGCTCATGTATAACATGTCTGTCCACTCCTCGACAGGGTTCAACCCCTACCAATTACATTGGGGACGTGAACCACGACAGCCTCTCGATGATATCATCGATAAGGCTACACCTGATCTGACCCCAGGCACGACAGAGTTCGCCAGACGCTATCGTCTGGATGTGGAAAGAGCCCGCGTGAACTTGTTCAAAGCCCAAAAGGCTATGATTGAACAAGCTAATCGCCACAGGCGGCCTTCCCCCATCCGCACTGGTGATCATGTCTGGGTGGCCAGCTCTGAGCTGTCGAGGGAGGAGGACATCTCCTCCAAGCTGTTGCCACGTTACTTGGGTCCATGGCAGGTTCTAGATACAGTGGGCGCTGATCCCTTCGGTCCGTCGTATGTCATCGACGTCCCGCTACATCTACGTACCTACCCGGTCTTCCATGCATCCAAGCTGCTGCCTTTCACTCCAGCTGATGCATTTCCCGACCGGCCCCCTCAGTTCGGTCCACCAATCCCTGGTAAGGGATACGACATTGACCGGATTGAGGATGAGTGGGGCACTGGCCCCGATCGGCAGTATCTTGTCAGGTTCGCGTTCCAGCCACCTTCAGAGAGCCGATGGTTCTACAGGAAGGACCTGATCAAGATAGCAAAGTCTATTGTTTTGCGGTATGCAGCGGCCCAGAAGGGTAACCTTCGTCGTTCACCCCGCCTACACCCCTAGCTCGGAGCTCCTCGCTCCCGGGGAGGGTAAGCCTGCAATGACTTGCTGATTTCTGCTGCCGAGATTCACTGCGAGGCTGTACACTAACCGTAGGGTTAGTTTTGTAATTTTGTTTGGCTGAGGGCTAACCGAGAGGTTCGTCTGTGAGGAAATTCGTGAGGGACAGATCTGCAAATCCGGGAAAATACAGGCCCGGTACTAACCGAATCCCTACAGCTACCCTAACAGCCTATAGCAGGCCCGGGCTACCCCTAGGACAGACAGGCCCTAAGTGGCCTATACTGCTATACGGTCCTATAGCCTATAGCCGGGTACGGTAGAGGCCGAGAGGCCGAAACAACAACGGTACCGGTCAGTCCAGTCAGTCCGGTCTAGGTCTAGGCTAGAGTAGGAAGTCTATAAGTCCGGTAGGGAAAATAGTTTGGGACTTTTGGCTTTTCATTTTTCGTGTGCAGCGTTCGGGGCCAACCAAGTTGTGCAGCGCTGAAGGTCTACAGCGGCACCTGAGACTTCAGCTGCGTGAGGCAGCCATAGCCGGCCTACCTGAGACAGCCATARCTGGGGCTGTGCTCAGCGCATCTACCCCCTGGGGGATATCTGCRTTGGCAGGACTATACAGAGGCTCTTCACTGGGTACATGTGGGTACTGCTGCTGCGGTAGCAGCCAGGCAGCCATAGCTGCCTTCTTCATCGTCAGAGTGACTCATCGGCACTGGGGACTACCTCGCTGTTCATGATCTGCATCTGGGTGTATGGCGCTGGCCTCTGGGAGGCTGTTTCAGTGTAGCGCTAAACTCTGGGAGTGGAGTAGTGAGTGGAGTGTGTGGTACTGAGGTGGTGAGATACTGGGTTGAACTCTGTAACGATAATTTGGGTTAATTGAGTTGAGTTGGCTCATCATCTGTGTTACATTCCAATTGTGATCTTCGCAGTGTCATCTTGTGATTGGTTGTTGGGAGTCTGTCAGAGAGAGAGAAACACTGGGTGTATTCTCCCMATCTGTGCATGGTTGCGATTCCGCTGCTTATCTCTGGTCTGTGTGCAGTTGGACTCTGTCTCCTCCTCCCCTTTGTCTCATGCATGTATGGGCGTGTGTGAGTTCTTCTGTGTGTGAGTGGCAAAGAAATTGTCAGACAACCAAGTTCATAACAGTTGGTATCGGAGCGGAGATTGGACTTGGAGCACTGAGGGTTGAGCGCAACAGGGGCATCCTCTTCTTCTGGCCCTAACTGGCGAGAAGTTCCATGGTGGCTCTGCATCTTCAGTGAAGATCCAGTAGAGAAGAGGATATGCAAGCGGTGATTGCAGAGTATCAGTGTGCGATTGATCAGGCACCCTGAGCCTATCTGAGTGCCTGATAGGAAGTGGCGAGAACAGGGGTATTTCGCCATCCACCTTCTGACTTCAGTTGATGACTGGGATCAGGGTGGCGAATTACACCCTAATCCAGTGATAACTGGGTGGCGGCTTCAATCCCAGTATAGCGCTGAGGGAGAATTNCTCATGCATGTATGGGCGTGTGTGAGTTCTTCTGTGTGTGAGTGGCAAAGAAATTGTCAGAAGAGAAAGTTCATAACAGAGAGAGAGAGAGAGAGAGAGAGAGAGAGAGAGAGAGAGAGAGAGAGAGAGAGAGAGAGAGTGCAGCCACTTCTGAACACCGTGTCCTTACTGTCGTGGTTAAGATACTTGGCTCTTGAGTCCGAGGTCACCGGTTTGAATCCGTGCTTGCACGGAGGAGGGCTTAGGCCTAGATGTTAGGATCCATGAACTGCTATGGAAGCACCCGTTAACTGATGGGGAGCGGATGTACCCCGTGTGTGGTGGGTGGGCTAAGTACCAGTGAGGGGGTCACGTGCAGAATGGAGCGCAGAGTGCGAGAATTGCCGCATCCGTGTGTGGTGTTGTGTGTGGTGTGTCTTGAGTTGGACACTACAGCCTTGCAGGGTTGTGATGGATATCAGGAGGAGTCTTCCTTTGAATGTTGTGTCCTGGCTGTAGTGGTTAAGATACTTGGCTCTTCAGTCCAAGGTCGCCAGTTCAAATCTGTGCTTGCACTAAGGAGGGCCTAGACCTAGATGTGCGGATCCATATGAACTACTTTGCATGCATCCATTCTGTTTTTTTTTTTTTTTTTTTTTTTTTTTTTTTTTTCAAAAACCAACTCAGCCCCTTCCATTCTGGGGGGCATCAGTCCGGTTGCTTTTCACCGACAAGCATGAGTTCCAAAGTACAAATTATTTGTAGGAAAAGAGGAAAGCCTTACCCTTGTGGCCCTACTAGGGGCATCAGTCTAAGACGCCTAACAAGGGGGGGGAAGCTACAACCGATCCCTCTTTCCATACCATAGCCTCCCCAGGGATACTTCTGTTGGTCGGGAGGCTTCCTTTTTTTTTTTTTTTTTTTAAACAATACACCCCCTGCAGTGCTAGTGCTGCTGGTAAAAGCAGGCAGCGCTAGCACCCGGGGAGAGGCTCCATCTATTGGTGGGGAGCATCACCTGCTGGAAAACAGGTCCAGCGTCCCTTACACAGAACGGATCAGGAAAAGATCAGACAATGTAACTGAGAAAGGCACCTTCCAGCATTGATTACTCTGTCCTCCAGAGGATTGATTGTGCAGGTTGTTGGAAAAAGGGAAAAAACCTCTTCGCCCTGTACCAGGCGCCAGATAGCAGCACCCAGCCACACAACAGATGGGTCCCCAGGGAAGGCCTGGCCCGGGGGGCCCGTTCTAGCAGTCTCGCGGGCCTCACATCCTGTCAGTCACCCCTCTGTTCAACCATCTTTTTTGTACCTACTAACACTCTTTTAGTCTAGATCCTTCCCTATCCCGTCTTCCCATTCTGTATTTTGACACAGGTTTTTTTTTTTTTTTTTTCCGTCTACCTTAATTTTATGCCAATTTATGGACGCATTCGCACGAGGATGCCAAGAGAAGTTGAAAGTGGAGGAAGCCCCACTAGCAAAGGGGATTGGACTGATTGCCTGAATCTGGATGTGTTTTATGCTGAGATGCAGAAAAGCAGATGAATCGCGATTTTCTGCACCTGTCCGGACACGTGTCCAGATTCAGGCATTTTATCCAATCCTCATTGCTAGTGGGACCTTGCCCCTGGACGCTGGACCCTCTCAGGGATAGAGAGGCTTCCGAACAGGATGTTCGAATTGAAAGAAGAAGAAGAAGAAGAAGAAGAAGAAGAAGAAGAAGAAGAAGAAGAAGAAGAAGAAGAAGAAGAAGAAGAAGAAGAAGAAGAAAGCTGGAATTCGTTCCTTCTTCAGTGTTTGGTAAACTTTGCTTGATTTTTCAACAGTCCCTTCAAAAGGTCCCTTTGTTTCTGCAGCAGTACTTGTACGTACCCGGTCGATTCCCAGGACAAATACCTCCAACAGTCCCTCCGTTGTGATATGCGCCCGCAGGAATGATTTGTAGTGTGCAATGCGAAGCGAGGAAAAGGCCTCGTCGAAGTGGACATGAAACCAGTTTATGCAGATGTACAGATATGACCCCATCACCAGCGACACGACCGGGGTTGCGCAGACCCAATAGTAAAGAAACACACACACATAGTACACAATCTGGAATCCGCGTGGCAGCGCTTCCATCCCATCTTTGCAAATCCTATTTCGTGTAACCGCCATAGTCTGCAGGTGTTCACCAGTCAACCAGCCAGCCAACCAACACACCAACCAACCAACCAACCAATCAACCAGTCAATCAAAACTAACCAACCAAGCAATTCATCGATTGATTGATCGATAACATCAACTGCTTGATCAACCAAACCCTCAACTGATCAACTGATGGATGGATGGACCAATGGACCAATCAATCAATCCATCAGTGCAGTGATGGATGGATCAATAGATGAATCCGTCCATCCGTCCATTAATCATCCGTCATCCGTCATCCGTCATCCGTCCATCTGGCAAGCCCTCCCTCCCTCCCTCCATTCCTCCATCCGTCCATCCATCCATCCGTCCCTCCGACCCCCCCTCCCTCAAACCATTCATGCATCCATCCATGGATTGATGATTGATCCATCATCCAATCATCCATCTCCACCGATCCATGCATGCATGCATCCATCCATCCGTCCGTGCATCTCTCCATCTGTCCCTCCCCCCCTCCCTCCCTCCGTCCCTCCCTCCCTTCATCCCTCCGTCCCTCCGTCCCTCCGTCCCTCCCTCCATCTGTCCATCCATCCATCCCTCTGTTCCTCCATGTCCATCTTCTGTCCGTCCCTCTGTCTCTCCATCCCTCCCTCCGTTCCTCCCTCCATCCCTCCCTCCCTATGTTCATCCCTCCCTCCGTCCATCCATCCATCCATCCATTCATCCACCCACTCATCCATCAATCAGTTGGTTGATCGGTCAGTCAGTGATTAGTCGATTGGTCGCTCTGTTGGTCACTCTGTTGGTCGCTCCATTGGTTGTTCTGTTGGTTGATTCGGAAGTCAGTCTCTTCATTAGTCGCAAGTCAGTCTGTCGGCTGCTCTGTTGGTCGGTTCGTTGCTTTGCCGGTCAGTCTGTCACTTGGTAAATTTGTCCACCCATTTGTCCGTCCGTTTGTTTGTCCATCCATCCATCTGTCCATCTGATCAATGCATCCATGAATCTGAGGAATAGATGATCAGTCCATCGATGAATGGATGGATGGATGGGTAGATCAATGGGTTCATCCCATCCCAACCCATCCCAACCCATCCCATCCCATACCATCCCATTGCATCCCATTCCATGCATAAAAAAAGAAAAACAAATCCGCCAAAAATAAATAAATCTACATCCAATGCATGGATGTTTCCTTTTTTTTTTTCAAAAAAAAAAGAAGAAACAGAACCTTACGATTCCGGCTCCTTTTCCATTCAGGGGAGCATCAGTCCGGTTCCTATTCCACCGGCTAGTCGGGAAGGATTACAATGAATACTCACTCACGCTCCTCCGCCTTGTGGTGTGGAGGTCCGAAGGACGGCATTGATTACTTCCTGAAGGAAGAATGTACCACCCTAACCCCTGCCTAAGTTAGCCTGCTCTACTGGAAGACTGGTCTTATCCTTTATTTGATGCTAAAACCCTAAACCCTGGCT